TTGTTTTAAAATGATGTGTAGATGGTATATGACGCCAAAAAAATTAGCAAATATGAACAAAAATATGTCAAATAAGTGTTGGAAATGTAAGAAAAAAGAAGGTTCTTTTTACCATATGTGGTGGACATGTGATAAAGCTGTAGCTTTTTGAACGGAGGTCCATAATGAAATGCAGAAAATCATGAAATGTACTTTTAAAAAAGAGCCAGAAGTATTACTTTTAGGGCTTAAGATGGAAGAGGTAAATGAAACAAAAAGGACATTGTTATGGTATTTGATTACCACTGCTAGAATGACATATATCCAATCTTGGAAGCAAGACAAAGTGCCAGAGAAATGGGAATGGATAAAGAAAATGCTTTTTATGGCAGAAATGGACAAACTGACAAGGAAACTTAATAATAAAGAGGAAGAAGAATTTTTTACTGAATGGATGGACTTTAAAGAATATATAGAGACTAATTGGGATGTTAAAAATAATTTACTTTGCTTTGACAATTATTGAGCAGAACTGGAAAAGAAAGTGAATGAATATATGAATATAATGTTACCTGAAAAACTGATAATGAATAATATAATATGAACTGAGAGTTGAATAGTTAAAGGGGAAAAGGGGTGGAAGCATTGTGGGAAGCCACGAGAAGGGGGGGGAGGAGATACGAGAAATGGATATATGTTGAAAGAAAAGATGTAAGTTTGAACATGTTGTTATATCCAAAATAAAAGTTTGAAGAAAAAGGAACCGGCTGGCCTTCCCTCCACTGCAGCCTGTGACCACCATGGGGCCAAATAAGTCTTGATTGAAGCGTGAGGCGAAAGCACTCTCCTGCAAGACCAGGCATGGGTACAGCTGATTGGCTTGGATAGCAGCCTCCTACGGGGGGGGGGGGGGGGGGGGGGGGGAAGGGTGTGCGTTTGCCCCAGCCCGGCCAGAGCCTCTTTCTAGAGGCCGTTGTATTTATTTCCACAACGGGCCTTTTTCCTAGTTAGATATATTGATCAAGTATCCAAAAGAACTCTCCCCAGTGGTCTGATGAGGAATGAAAATGCTGTAGAAGAGATGGAATGTTGAGGGTATCTGACAGTTCAAGGGGGGGAAGGGGTAGGGGGTAGGGGAGAACTGTTCTAGCCCCTGAGTGACTAGAGAATCATGGAGGGGAAGATTTTGGCAGCTGAGTTTCCTAATCACCCCCCTTCACAGTTCTTCACATCCCCCAGCTCATAAATGAAGGCATGAAAGTCGAAGATTCATAATATGTTCATAACATTATAGAACATTAAGGGAAGGGGTTAGTGTTGCTGGGGTATGTCAGTTTAAAGGCCTCATGAAAGCTTCTGTGCTGGGAAGGTTGTGTGTGTGTGTGTAAGAGAGGGGGACATTATTTAACCCACAAGTCAGTGAGTGAAGTAAATAAAAAATAAATGGCATGAACACATCTCCTTACAGAAAATATCTAGCAGGTGCCTGTGACATTTGCACAATCTCAGGTAGCCTGGAAATTGCAATAGCAATGGCTATATTATCTGGGGAAAGAAAGACTCCCAGGAGTAAGGTACAGTGTATTGAATACTGGGGAAAAGAAATTCCTTGAGTCTGGGCTATGTGGAACAAATAGATAACAACATTGCATTTACTGTGCTACAAATGGGATCTGACTGTAAAGTCGCAAAGGGGTGGACAAAGTCACTTTCTATTCCATCTCCCCCACCCCACCCCAGGTTTTTGCATCTACTTACCCACGGTGTTCTCTTGTATGGGCTGTGCCTTGCTATAGAGGATGACTGGCAAAACCAGTAGTGAAAGCATTCCCATTGGCTTTTTCCCCAGGTATCTCAAAGCATCAAAACAAACCTTCTCAGCACACCCCATGGTTTCAACTGGAGGTTCTCCCAGTCTCTCAGTTAGCCTATCGAATGTTGGAGTTCTGGAGCAAGCTCATGTGTAGAGTGACTCTGTTACTGGTGGTTTTATCAGAGGAAGAGGCTGAGGGAATACCAAACCCAACTTTAGCCTTGACCTGCCCACAGCAGTTTTGCTTTGTAGAGAAACCAGAGTCATTTTTTTCATGCATTCATGCTATTTATGAACCTATCTTCCCATTGTTTTGTTGCACAGTTGCCCTACAGTGACACCTTAACTATCTTATCTGGAAAGGACCTCCAAGCAAAGGAATACGTGGACATCCTGTGGAGATGGGGGCAGAAGGAAAAATGGCTCCGGGCTATTATCGTTGTCTTTGCGTTTTCCTTCTATTTCCCATAACGAAGAAAGAACAACCAGTCCAGAGAATCTTAATCAGAGGAAATAGCGAGGCGAGGGATGACAAACCTTCATTCCTTAAATGCCCAAAATAGGGAAAATATCCAAATAGTTGGTATCTTTGGAGAGAAATGTTTTATTTTTTGTGCTCTTTTATGTTTCTACTGTGCTGTAACTGTGAGCTTTTTGATACTTATGAGCCAATGAATCACATATAGATTTAACAACTTCAGGTAAAAGCACATAGGTGGTGTCAATGGGTTTGAGGAGGCTGCCTCCCCACGCCCCCCACACTCCATTGTTGCTCTTTGACCCTTCTGGATATTGGCTGTGATTACAACCAGCCATTTTGCACATCCCTGCAAATCCTCTCCATGCGGGTCTCTGTAAGGAACTATGTCTCCAGTGGAGACCCTGTGCCACCAAGATTATTAGGAAGAGGAGGGAACTACTAATAGTTCCAGCTGGATCATTCACACACCATCCTCCCGGCCCAGGAAGTCAGGTGACACTTAAACGGCCAATCCAGTGCCACTGGCTCATTCAAAGGTTTGTTGTCTTCTCTTTGCCTGGCCAATGTGAGGAATGCCACCAAGTCTTCCCTCTCAGCTGTGCTGCTGGAGGAGGAAACTATGATTTAAAACAAAACAAAACAAAACCACAGCAAACTCTACCTCATCTTTTTAAAGCAAAACTTAAAGCCCAAGCAAGCATTATATGGATTTTTTCCTGTGGAAGATCCATTACTGGACCTCCTGATACTGCAGATAAGTGTCTTTAATTTTCTGCCGCAGGTCTAATAGTGACTTCAGAGAAGTGGAAATTTATACCAGGGCTAAACAACCAGTGTGGTTGCTCTGATAAAAGAAAATGTTGGAAATTTTGATCTGGGATGTCCCATCTCACATCTGCTGCACTCCTAAGGAAGGTGGTCTGAAAAAAGACCTGAAGGAGATGGGGGTGTGCGGGCAGCAGTAAATCAAGAGAATGATGAATAAATGCCCAGCCAGTGTACTAAAAAAATCAGTTAAAATTAAAAGAGATGTTTGAATGACATAAGGTCATTGTTAAAAAAATGTATACAAGTGCGAGGGACACTGCATAGCTGTTATATGGGGTACACTCAAGGGCAAGTTAAATACAGACAGGCCGCAAACATTTTTGTTGTGGCTCTCCAGTTCAAGTTCTGATCCACCCAGTGAAATGGAAAGCGACATCGTAAAGGTAAAGGTTGAGATATGGCTGATGGGACTTAAAAACACACACAACAAAATGGAATTTTTACTGCACAGCCATTAGAGACTATAAGCTCCCCTGAAGATAAACTACAGCCGGGGGGGGGGGGGGCAGTACAGCAAGTCAAGGGAAGTTATGTGTTTTCCACACCCACTCAGAGGCTGATATATTCTTTGATGTAGGATCAAATTAAAAAAAAGTTACGATTTGAACTACCTCATATATTATTTCTTGCCCATTTCCAGTTTCATTGCCTGCTCCAGCTCATGCTTGCTAGCTGGCGTGATTCATTTTGACCCCTGTTGTGTTATTGCAGTTTATCCGTGGGAAACCATTCTCTCCTTCAGCCCAGCAACTTGGTGCAACTTGAAAACTGGACAAGAATCCTCTAAATAAATCCAATTTGGTCTACAGTACAGTCAGTTTTCTTTTTAAGGCTACAGCAGTCAACTTCGGCCTTTGCCGCCATACCTCAAAACAACTAATTCCCCTCCTCTTTCGTTTTGTTGCATAGAGCATCCAGCCAGATGCAAAAAAGGAGGCTCTGTGGCTCACAGGTACAGTATCTGCTTGGTATCTAGAAGACGGCAGGTGTTTATCCCCAGCATCTCCACTTAAAAGGATTAGGTGGCTGGTGATGTGAAAGGCCTCTGCCTGAGATCCTGTTCCTGCCAGTATGGATGAGTAGATGATTATGATAGTCCGATTCAGGATAAGGTACCTTCAAGAACTTGAAAGCTTGCAAGCTGTTTGTAATGATATTTCTGCTGGTCGTGATTAAAATGCATTACCCAACTTTGGGGGAGGACTCTGTGGTCTTACCTGCAGCCTTAACTGCCTAGGACAAGAGACCGGTGGTTTCTGACCTCCTCCTTCCTATTTGAAAGAATGAAAATGGACTAAAGATATTATTCCCAGTGGGCACTCATGGGTACCACATTGAGGATTGTTGCTATGGAGCATTTGAACACACCAACTTTTTACTTCTTGGGGTATGTTGTCATATAAACCTCTGTGTGCTTTGTAGTACAAACAAGTCCCCTTAACCTCTGAGCCACTGCGGTCCAGTGTAAAAAAAGTCACACATTACAGCTATCACATATGATTTCCAACACAGAGTCTTACATTTCCCCCCCCCCCCAATGTATTGAGTCCCCTAAGACAGATTGATTTGGTCTTGAATAGGGATGTGCACGAACCACAAAAATGCAGTTCGGTTCGGGTTTTGTGGTTTTCATGAACAGCCATGAACGGCATCAAAATTCCTGAAAGTTTGTGGTGGGTCTTCAGTTTGCAAACATTGTTAGTTCGTCAGCCAATTCGTTCCCGTCCCAAGTCTTGACTAACTGAGGAGGCTCAGCCATGTTTACTTCTTGATGGTATGTGTGGACAGGTACCATATCAAGTTCTGAGAACTCACTGACTTTTCATTGGCTCCCTTTCACCAAGGACAATGTGATTTCACCACACCAGTTCAAAAACTGAATAGTTATTTATTGTTCCGGAAGTACATTGCTCTTTTATACATATTTAATAAATGATACAGGATTTTTACACATGTTCAGTATTTTATTTTTAAGGACTTTTCTCCATGCCCCCTCCCTCACCCCAAACACACACAAACAGTTCAGTTAACAAGACTGCTCATTTTCTTTCTTTTTAAATGTTGCATACAAAGAGGATCAAACAGATCATTAAAAAAAAAGAACCAGAAGAGGAACAAAATCCAAAACATAATTGAAAACATAACAAAATGAGAGGGGGGGGGGAAGAAAGGCGGGGAGAGAAAAACACCTTGGAACATGCATCCATTCAGTCCAACATGCCATTGAGGGAGAGGCGGTGGCAACAATCCCGTCTTGTGTTTCCACAGCTGCAAGGCACCTGGCGTCTGGTTTATATTTATTTTGTACACTTTAAAACATGGTTCTCCAGAAAGTGGGAGCCTCTCGCCTTGACACAGTGAGAAGTAGCAAAGGAAACACCCGGCCTTTCTGCAAATCACGCGCAGATCCCTCCTCCAACCTCCATCCTGTCCTCACAGGCTTTTATCAAACAGGATGGTCAGGGGCTGATTCCACTCAGTGCAGGATGCGAGACCCACATGGGAAAAAAAAATCAGCTGGTTTGCAAGAGGTAGAGGGTGAGGAGAACCATTTCCTTAATTGTTTAAATAAGGAAGGGTGTTGCTATCTCTGTCACCCCACCGAAACCCTGACCCTTAAACATCAGAGCATTCATTTAAAGCTACTTTAAAGAGGGCTTGAGAAGCAACATGGGATTCTTCATTTGTCTTCTGCTTCAGGCTTTCGATAAAGCCTCCAGGACAGGCAATCTCATCAAGACACATAATTAATTCTGCTATGCAAACATCAAATTTAATTGTCCCCATTCTACACTGTTGGGTTAGAAAGCCATGGTTTTTTGAGCTAAGTACCCATTAAAAAAATATTTCATCCACCCCCATTTAAAAAAAAAATCCTTTTAATTTGGTAATCCCAGTGGCTACCAGATTTGGGATGGAAAGGATTGGCCAGGGTTGGGGGGAGATTGCTCCCTTAAGACTGAATAAGAAATTGTTTCATGCAACATCACCATTTATATCTAGAAGTAGATCCAGGGCAGTGTGATCTACTGAAGTTATTCAAGAGTAATGCAAAGTGATCAATTATCAAACATTCAGAATAACAGTTATTTAGTCTGTGGTTCTGATAAAACTGATCAATGTGGGAATCACATCACCCAGTAAAAGAAGGAAATCTGGCTGCCAATAAGTGAAGGGGGGGGGGGGGGAGAGCTTCTGATCTTTCCAAAGTTAAAAAGCAGTTTCACATTAATGTCATAAAAGACATTGTAGGTCTAATCTAAAGTGCACACTGATGACACCAAAGTGGAACATTATATGAAGGCAGAGCACTAGTGCCGATCACCAGCCATGGCTTCTTAAGATGGTTTGATTTTTTAATCTCTTCACTTTTATTTTGTGCACTGTTAATACCGGTGTTTTCAATTAGGGTGTTTTTGTTTTTGTGTCCCCCACCCCACCCCCAAAGGCAAAAACTGAGCAGGCTGCTGGTGCATCATCAAGAGGCAGACACTGCAAAACTGGGAAAATATGCCCCTCTTAACATTCTTTTCTTGAAACACCTGACTTTTAAATATATATTTTTGATCCAGAAACAAAGAACTCTTGAATGTGACAATATTCACCCAAGCCCTTTGAAAAGACTTAACATCCCACAGTGCCTGATCTTCGGATTGAACACAGTGGCCCCCTCCACAGCCAAGATCCTTGTTCTGTTTTTTACTGGTAAAAAAAAGTCCTCCGCCCCCCAGGAGACCTCCCAGCTTCAACCTGCAATGCTTTAATTGAAGAGGCAAGAGATATGAACAGGTTTTGCCATTTCTGCCAGGGATCAGAGGTCCTCAAGCTAATCAGTCTTTGGTGCTGATTTGTCGGATAGGCAAATGTACCTGCAAGGGGTCTCGAAGCCTCGTAAGATCCAATTCTGCCTGGAAAGTAAGAAAAACAGAGCCATGAGAACGATCGTGCCCCGTCAACGTACTGTAAACCCTTTGCCACCAAGGCCCCAGCCAGTGAGAAATGTAAAACAAATTCTGAACACAACACATTAGAACCAATTATATTAAGATTAAAAACACAGGCATTCTTTGTGTATACTCAGCTGAAGAAAAGAGCATCCTCAGGTAAAATCATCCCTTTCCCAACAAACTGCTTTGCCTGTAATGCTGCATGTACATAGCAACCTCCCAAAGTTGGTCGAACAAAATGCTTTCCACTGTCTTAAAGAGGGTAGGCTCCTCCTGTTGGATAATGTCCACCATTTGACAGCACACATTTTAAAACTCAGCATTTCGTGAGACTGGAATTGGCAGTGAAGCAGAATTAATAAAGAGGGTTCTAATTTTGATTTTAAAAGATACTGCTTGCCAGGGACTTAGCTTGGAGAAACGACAACTGAGGGGTGACATGATTGAGGTTTATAAGATTATGCATGGGATAGAGCAGGTAGAGAAAGAAGTACTTTTCTCCCTCTCTCACAATACAAGAACTTGTGGGCACTCAATGAAATTGCTGAGCAGTCGGGTTAGAATGGATAAAAGGTAGTACTTCTTCACCCAAAGAGTGATCAACACATGGAATTCACTGCCACAGGAGGTGGCGATGGCTACAAGCATGGACGGCTTCATGAAGGAATTAGATAAACATATGGAGCAGAGGTCCATCAGTGGCTATTAGCCACAAGGTATAGATAGGAACTCTCGGTCTGGGACAACTGATGCTTGGTGCTTCAGGAGGGAGCAACAGTGGGAGGGCTTCTAGTGTCTTGGCCCCACTGGTGGACCTCCTGATGGCACCTGGTATTTTTGGCCACTGTGTGACACAGAGTGTTGGTCTGAATGGGCCATTGGCCTGATCCAACATTGGCTTCTCTTATGTTCTTATGACTCAATGACCAAGTTCTGTGGGTCCAAGGATTTGGCGAGGAGAGTCAAATACAAGAACTCCCCCCCCCTTTTGCCATCAAGTCACAGCTGACTTATGGCAATCTCATGGGGTTTTCAAGGCAAAAGATGTTGAGAGGTGGCTTGTCATTGCCTGCCTCTGCACAGTGACTCTGGTGTTCCTTGGTGGTCTCTCGTCCAAATACTGACCAGGGCTTAGCTTCTGAGATCCGATGAGACTGGGTTAGCCTGGGCTATCCAGGTCAGGGGAAGAACTCTTTACTGAGCCATTATGAAATTAACTGCCTTTTTAAAGCACAAAACTGGTTACATGACAGAATGTGGCTGTAGTGGTTGGATAGTAGGTGGTAACTCAAAAAAAAAAAGGTCTCATGGCTTGAACCCTACCCAATTCACTGGGAGTTCTACAAATCAGTGGCTTCCGTATTTGGGAAGGGATGCAACTTTAGACTTCGGTCTGTTAGCCCCAGTCCCATTTCCTCTATTGTTCTCTTCTATGATTTGAAAAGAATATGCTGAGCCACACCCAGGATTTCCAAAACTTGTTACACAAGAAGCAATGTCAGAAAATTTACAGAACCCCTCACCTGAACTAAGGGCCTAACACTACATTACACTTTTCTCACATCCTCCCTGGGTCCCAGGAATAAGATGTGTGCTGAGATTTCTGTGCCTGGAACTCAATATTCAGGCGCAGGCGCATGTGGACTGATTTAGATTGGGACCATGGGGAGATAGAGCTTAAGCTCCCCCCCCCATACCATTATCCCAATCTGAAATGGCACCAGGAGACGCTAACTGGCCCATTGAAGAGACTGATTAGTATATATGGTTTCCCCAATGGGGCCATTTCAGGCTGGGAAAACAGAAGGAGGGGAGGCATAAGCCCCCCTCCCCCCAGAGCTCAATCCAAAATGACCACTGTGCATCTAGTAATTCTTCTGGTTACTGCACCTGCAACACACATTTGATGGCCAGGATCTGTAATGTGGTATTAAGCCCTAAGAAGGAAAAGAAAGAGGAAGATTAAGCCATGTTTCACAATCAATTCATGGGACTTCTAGTCATACAGCTGTATGAAATTCCAGTGTATGCTGAATCCCTGCTGATGGTATGCTAGTCATGAAGAGCTTTTGCCACACATCCTTGTAATGGTCATATAAGTTTTGGTATTTTGGTTTTTAAAGTTATAACGTTATATAATTTCCCCCAAAATTCAATATTTGCAAAAAAAAACAAAAAACCATTTATACTATGTTTTGTTAATTTTACCTTTTATTCTTTCCCCTTACCCCTTTGTTTAATTCTGTATTCCCTCAAAAAGTTCCAAATAATTTTTTTTTTTTTTAAGCTTGGTATGTTGGTATTTCAAGTGGCTACCATGAAACCAGACACATTACAAACCATTTTTGCACACACAAGAATTCACTGCTTTAGGACTGTGTCCTCTCATACTAAACCCTTACAGGTTTGAACACCAGTCCAACCTTCTTCTGGGATACTATCCCTGCCAAAATGATAGAAGTTAACAAATGGCACCTTTAATCATTTTTGCCCAGTGCGCACCACATGCAATACTTCCACTTTATTGCCTTAAGTGTAACAACCAATTTCAAGCAGGGGAGCAATATCTCCTCACCTGCTCACAAGAGAGGAATACCTTTCTTTACCTGAGCAATAGCATCCTTGAGTTGATTGTATTTTTCTAGGTCAAAACGTGTCTTTTTGGCTCCTTTATGGAAAAATAATAAGAATTGCCTGTCTCTGGCATCTGGGTATACATACTCCTGTGGAATGCAAGAATGACGGAAGATAAATGATCAGGAAATGAATTAACATTTATTCAGTAATGCAAGAGGCTTGGGAAGGAAAGGAACCATTAGTTCCTGCACTGACTAAACATAAGATGGATTATTGCCCCCATCACAGAACATCAGACCTGGAAACCATTATTAAGGAAAGAATTAGTAGGCACATAGATGAACAAAACCTATTGAGGCAGACTCAACATGGGTTCTGTAAGGGAAGATCTTGTCTCACTAACCTGTTAATGTTCTTTGAGGGGGTGAACAAACATGTGGACAAGGGGGATCCAATAGATATTGTTTACCTTGACTTCCAGAAAGCTTTTGATAAAGTTCCTCATCAAAGGCTCCTAAGTAAGCTCAAAAATCATGGGATAAAAGAACAAGTCCTTTTATGGATCAAAAACTGGCTAATTAATAGAAAACAGAGAGTGAGTATAAATGGGCAGTTCTCCCAGTGGAGGGGGGTAAGCAGTGGGGTACCACAGGGATCAGTACTTGGTCCACTGCTTTTTAACTTGTTCATTAATGATTTGGAGTTGGGAGTAAGCAGTGAAGTGGCTAAATTTGCGGATGATACGAAGTTGTTCAGGGTGGTGAAAACCAGTGAGGATTGTGAGGCACTCCAAAGGGATCTGTCAAAGATGGGCGAGTGGGCGTCAACATGGCAAATGGGGTTCAATGTGGCCAAGTGCAAGGTGATGCACATTGGAGCCAAAAATCCTAAATATAAATACACGTTGATGGGGTCTGAACTGGCAGAGACTGATCAAGAGAGAGATCTTGGAGTTGTAGTAGATAACTCACTGAAAGTGTCGAGACAGTGTGTGACTGCAATAAAGAAGGCCAATGCTATGCTGGGGATTATTAGGAAGGGTATTGTAAACAGATCAGCCAATATCATAATGCCGCTATATAAATCAATGGTGCGACCTCATCTGGAATACTGTGTGCAATTCTGGTCACCACACCTTAAAAAGGATATTATAGCTTTGGAAAAAGTGCAGAAAAGGGCAACTCGAATGATAAAAGGGTTGGAACACTTTCCCTATGAGGAAAGGTTAAAGCGCTTAGGGCTCTTTAGCTTGGAGAAACGACGACTGAGGGGTGACATGATTGAGGTTTATAAGATTATGCATGGGAAAGAGCAGGTAGAGAAAGAGGTACTTTTCTCCCTTTCTCACAATACAAGAACCCGTGGGCACTCCATGAAATTGCTGAGCGGTCGGGTTAGAACGGATAAAAGGAAGTACTTCTTCACCCAAAGAGTGATTAACACTTGGAATTCACTGCCACAGGAAGTGGTGGCAGCTACAAGCATGGACGGCTTCAAAAGGGAATTAGATAAGCATATGGAGCAGAGGTCCATCAGTGGCTATTAGCCACAAGGTATAGATAGGGACTCTGGGGCAAGTGATGCTCTGTCATCTTGGTGCTTGGGGGGGTCAACAGTGGGAGGGCTTCTAATGTCCTGGCCCCACTGGTGGACCTCCTGATGGCACTGGTATTTCTGGCCACTGTGGGATACAGAGTGTTGGACTGGATGGGCCTTTGGCCTGATCCAACATTGGCATCTCTTACGTTCTTATGTTCTTATGTTCTTATCTATAGTGCAGACTTAAGCACCAGGCTCTGGTTGTTAGCCTAACAGAGCTCCTTTCAGTACGTCTCCAGTGAAGAGGCAGCAGTCATCACCAGATCATAATCGAACACATACCTGGATTCAAACTGAGAGGTAGAATTGTGGCAGCTTATTCACACCACCCACGGCTGCTTTGCCTCTTCTAAGATGCAGTGGCAAGCAAGTTTTGACAGCTCAGCCATCTGGAGCAGGGCACTCATGCAGTGGCTCATTAGAGCCACAGTAGTCAGGTCGTGAAACCCTTTGGCTACAAGAAGAATCTGCTCAGCTCACTTGGTGCTCATTATGTCTTTGCAGGGGGTGAGGAAATGAAAGGTCTGAGGGCTGTTTAAGTGCACACCATCTCCTACCAGAAACATTGCTTCGCACACCTACACCAGCTACAGGAATCAAAACCTAATACACAGCTGCTCCAGGGACCACGGGTCAAGGAAATGCAAGTTAACTTTGCTGACAAGGCACTGCAATACGCATCACCTAGGATGACACACAAAAGGTGTCATGGCATATTGTACCATCACAAGCAATATGATAATGTAGAATCCAAGTTCATCACACTACAGCATTCTAAACTGGAAGCCGGCAATCCCCCTGCAATGCTCTTATGCTAAGAAGTGATTTATGGCAGTCCGGTTTATGGCGACACGCTGGCGGACGCATCTCCCGGACCTCCCGGGGATGTGATCTGCGCACCAGTGGAAAGGAAGGGGGGCGATGGGTCGCTACCCCTCGGAGCCTTGGCAAAAGGCTCCTAGCCATGGGACTTTTGAGGGGTGGCCTCTTCGCCAGCGTGATGCTGGGGAATTGAGGTGCTCCTCCGCCCCGACGGTCCTGCCGCTGAGTGTCCGTATGGATCTAAAGCCGCTGACCGGGACAAGCGTCGGAGATCGAGCATTTTGAACGTGTGCCGAGTGAGGTCATATGACCAACAATGAACAGTGAGTCGGGTTAAAGCAAATACGAGGATTTAAAAAGAAAGCTACCCCCCCATACACATGAACTAAACAACGAAACACTCAGGGGGGAGCAGAAGAAAAAACATTGAAATCTATTTTGAGAGACTTACCAGAGCACGGCTAAGCGTATGGGGGTATTTCAGAGACTTTAGCAAGTTTTCATAAAAGTAAACAATCCATAAAGTTGGCAGGGAAGAGGGCAGCGAAAGACAAACCAGTAAAAGTGAAACCAGCCAGCTTGAGCCCTCGACCGGAAGAGACCACCGAGCTTTCCAAAATATTGGCAGAGTCCTTGTGCCCTCTGCTGGACCAGATGACTAACATCGAACAACAGATGACGAATCTAAATCAGAATCTTGCAACTCAGCAGCTCCAATTGACTGAGACTTTAAAAATAATGGAGCAAACAGCTGAGAAGGTGAAGGAAATGGACGCCAACGCCAAAAAAGTTAAGAAAAAGGTTCAAAAGCTGGAAAAGAAACAAGTCTGTGAAGAATCACAACTTTTACAGGTGCAAATGGAGAAAGCAAATATGGTCCTACGGTTTCAAGGGGTCCCAGAATTAAAAGGTGAGAATCTAAAGCAACTCCTGAGTGAAGCATTAGCCCCAGTTACAGATTTGAAAGCGGAGTATCTTGCAAGTGAAATGGATGTGGTCTATAGGTCCTATTCCATGTACATCAAAAAGAATAATCTGCCTGGGGAAATAGTGGCTAGATTCGCAAAGCAACATGTGAGGGATTCTATCCTGAAAGCAACTACAGGAACACCCTTGAAAATCGGGGACAACACTATCAGGATTCTAAAAGACATTCCATTCGAAATAAGGCAAAAGAGAAAGAAATATAAAGATTTAATCCTTTTTCTTCAAGCAAACAGCATTGACTACAGATGGTTAATTCCAGAAGGAATCATTTTCAAACTACAAGATAAAAAAGAAAAGACTGACTCTGTTTTCAAAGCACGTGAGTTCCTGAGAGTGCAGCTGGGAGGGTCAGCCGAGGTTGAGAAAGAAGATGACAGCAAATCCAGTGGTGAATTGGAGTCGGTGTCTTCCGACAAGCACTCTCTTTCTGATAAGGGGGCGGCTGCCCCCAAACGTACATACAAATTGAGGATTAGAAAAGATAAGACAAAATGAAGGCTGAAGGACTCTGAAGTGTGCCTTTAAACTTTAGTTTTATTGTGGGATGCTCTGGGGGTTCTCTTGAATGGTTAAAACATTGCATAAAAAGACAAAAACTTAGCATAGCCGACTATGTTCAAAGTAATATTAGCAATTTAAGATTAACATTTATATAAACTGTTGTGATGATCTCCTGTTCTTGGGGTTTTAGTTAGTTGTGGTTCTCTTTTCTTTCTCCTTAGATGTAGTTACCCCTTCCCAATTTTTTTTGTTGTAGTTTGTAGTCTATTAAAAAATGTAATAAAAAAATCCCCTCCGGGGGGCAAAAAAAGAGAGAAGTGGTTTATGGTCTCTGAGCTGTTTTTAAAAAGTCCAGAGGCAGCTGCAGAAGCAATGTCCACAGAGATCTATGTAGAATATAACCTCTAACCTGGTGACATATCCATAATCCTAAAAGGCTGATCCTAGAAAAATGTCAAGATATACTGGACAAATATGTGGGTAACTGCAGCTAAAAGCTTCAGTTAAGAGAGGTTAAACATTGATCTCAAAAGAACAGCATTCCTATTGTCTGTTGAGATTTACACTGCAGAAACCGAGACAACAAAAGTGCTAAAATCACACACAATCACAGATGTCCTTCAAGGGGAACCCCTGAAGTCCAGAGCAGAAGTATGAAGGAAACAGAAAGGAAGACACATGAAGCTAAAGGGAAGAATTTATCACAGCTAACTTCAAAGGGGATTTTGTCTAGAACTGGAAATGGAGCACTGGACTTAACATGACGGTTCCTTTGACTTAAGATAGAGGAGGATATTTTGGAAAGTTTGGGTACTCTCCTAACCATAATCCCTGAAGGCAGGAAGTAGGTTGCTTGTTCAGTCTCCAATTGGGCAGGGAGTACACACCCATCTTCTGTCTGGAGATTTTCATAGCAAACCAAATTGACTACACCATATGCCTCTTCAGGCCAGGATCCTTCAGTCACTAAGTAAAATTCTTTTAAGAGATGGCAAATCTCTGACTTAAACAGAAAAACTGGTGAATTAACCAAGTAAAAAGAAACTGTGATACCACAGAATGGATCAAGAAATAACACTGGCCAACACAGAAAAATATAATACTGAGTAATACCTGAGAAGAAACAAAGAAATTAAGGGTGCAGCCAGGTGAATCTGCAGGAGGTGGCCACAACATTCAACACGATGCCTGGAATTGATCACTCCACTAGAAAGGGTGGAGTCAGAATGTCCTCCTCGATCTCAAAAGAAAGGAACCTCCCTGGTAAGCCCAATGTTCTGTTTTCACTTAAGAAGAAGATGGCATTCTGGAACATTTGGGGTGTACAAGCAGTACACCCATCCAAAGAGGGACTGTTGCCTGCCTACGAGAAACAAGTCCACTGCAGAAGTCACTGCCAAAAAGCTGCGTCAGCTGAAGCAACAGACTTTGATGTGGTACTGAAAAAGTCAGGATACAGATGTCTAAAATGCAAGAATTAGTGGTAAATGCTACAGAGGAGGTTGCAGTCCAAACCAACAGGGTCTTAATGCCTTCAGGTGCTCGTACTCCTTGTGAAGGCTATGCCTTCTTGACCCATTTGAAGAGTTTCACCTAGGAGACCATTTTCTGCTTGATGACTAGGTAGAAGCCTCCAAAGAAGAGATCTGTTTTCCTAAAGGATCTCATGCTGCCAAGGTAAAGGTGAGTGCCCTTCTAAGGTCTAGCACATGCCAGTTCCTTTCCCTTGAGTGGGAAGGTTTCAGGCAAATGAAGGGAGGTTGGTGTCCAGAAACAGGTGGAAAACAAAATGAACCTTAGGCATAAAGGAAGGTTACGGTTAGAGCACCACTGTATCTTTGTGAAAAATGCCGGGATCTTTAAGAGCAGCAATGGCTTCCAGCTCTGACCCTTGTCTGACAAAGGTCACTGCCACTAAGAACAAGACTTTTAGCAAGAGGAAGTTGGGTGATACTGTCTCCAGAGGTTCCAAAGGAGCTTGCATTAAGGCCTGTAGTCAACCCTCCGCTCTCCTGAAAACCCTCCGCTCTCCAGGAGGCAAGACTTTTCTCCCTCCATTATGCCAGACTCACCATTCTCTCTGTAGTCTGTTGAACCTCATGTCACCCAGAAACTGATATGAGCTGTCACCCTCTCAGTGGCAAAACTCATAGACACAATGAGAGAGAGAGAGAGTAGTTTGGGTAGGAGAGTACCCAAACATTCCAGAATGTCCTGTTCTCAAGAGAAAAGGCTCAAGAGAAAATGGCTCCCACATTACTTGATTCCTCTACACCTGGTGTCTGGCATCTGAAGTAAAAATTAAAGTGCTTTGCATCTAAGGTGAATGTAAAGCTCTATCTATGAAGGTCCATGCAAGTCATTGCTTGATATTGCCTTCACCAAGCAAATGAACACACACATGAGAATTAGGTAAAGGATTACACACTGTAATTTGCAAATAATATGGAGGTCAAATAGTATTCAGGGTAATGGTTTTGAGGAAAGGCAGAAAAACAACAAACACAAGTCTTACCTGGCGCGTTACTACGAAGTATGCGTACATTGCCATGGCACTGCCGTACGTGATGAAGTAGGTAACAGGCTCCATAATGTCCCAAGAGTACTCCCACCAGGTGAGTCGGGCCAGAATCCCGAACTGAGTGGCCATGTAAGCCAGCCCACCCCACAGCACCCAGGTGGTCCTCTTTTCTGCTTTTCTGCAGATTTCTATTCTAGCCTGCAGAATAAAAAATGGTCAGTGCCAAGATGGTATCATCACATGGTATTAACAGCTGTTTTTCTTAACGGTGCAACATAAAAGAAAACAGGCACATGAAGACTGGTGTTTTCAATAGTGGCATGATGGAACTGTGTTTATCATTTACTCAGTGATCAATATTTGAAGTTGACATGCAGCTTCCATTTTCTTTGTGCAACAATTGTTCCTGTTGAATACCAAAGCAGTTACTTCTGAGTAACCTCCCTAGCCTGCTCTGTGAAAGAGAAGGCTGGGGTAATTATCCCTCAGTAATTATTCAGCTGGGAAGGGCCTCAAAGAAAGGCTGGATAGACTTTCCCCGACTGAATGATCTGTCCTAAGGACAATTTATTGCTTCCCTTCTTCCTCAAGCACAGAACTGCTGGCTGGGAAGGGTTTCAGCCTGTTACTCAAGCAGCAGCCTGGACCATTTTGCAATCAGGGGACCTGCCCTCAAAGCAACAAGCAACGTTCTTGGAGCACTGCAAAGTCAGTGGGCCTCTCTCATAAGAGGGTGTGTGTGCTCACTTCCCAGCAACAGTGCCCAGAAATAGAGCACTACCCAGCAACTCCACCTAGAATGTCGTAAAACTCATTCACTGTATTTTGAATGCATTCGCTTGACAGAATGATATATACTGTGTGCATGGAAATGGAAGGATGATGGACAAGCAGAACTGGATGGCTACTGAGCTGAACATTTTTCCCTCTGCTGCTGCTATTTGATCAAAGGAGCTTGGAAAACAGGCACTGTCAGGGCAATCTGCTCATTCCCAAATGCAACCGTTCTGAATCGGCTCAACCTCCAAGGAAGCTGGTGGATGTGAGCATTACTGGGGGGGGGGGGATGTTGAAGTTATATCACACATTTATCTAGAAATAATTGACATTAGCCTGGGAAATTCATTTCACACATGACTGTGTATTTGCCCTCTTAATACAATACCAACATTTTGAATGCATTGAAAGTGTATTTTCACTGACAGTGACATATACCCTTCGGCTCTAAATCCTACTGCTAACAAGGCGTCGCACTCTATTTTTTGTTAATTGTATTCATAGAATCATAGAGTTGGAAGGGGCCATACAGACCATCTAGTCCAACCTCCTGCCTGATGCAGGACCAGCCTAAAGCATCTCTGACAAATATTCATCCAGCCTCTTCTTGAAAGCTGTCAGTGAAGGAGAACTTACCTAGGCAGCTGATTGCACCTTTGAACCACTCTGACTGTGAAAAAGTTTTTCCTAATATCCAGCCGGTACCTTTCTGCATGTAATTTAAACCTGCTGCTTCAGGTCCTATCCTCTGCTGCCAACTGGAACAGCTCCTTGCCCTCCTCCAAATGACAGCCCTTCAAATATTTAAAGGGAGCAGTCATGTACCCCCCTCTTCTCCAAACTAAACATTCCCAAGTCCCTTAGCCTTTCCTCGTAGGGCTCAGTCTCCAGACCCCTGATCATCCTTGTCGCTCTCTTCTGCACACTCTTGATTTTGTCCACATCCTTTTTGAAGTGAGGCCTCCAGAACTGCACACAGTACCCCAGGTGCGGCCTGACCAAGGCAGTATACAGAGGGGCTATGACCTCCTGCGATTTTGATGCTATGGCCCTTTTAATACAACCCAAGACTGAATTTGCCTTTTTTGCCACCGCATCACACTGACTGCTCATATTTAGCTTACAATCCAGTTTATGTCCTTGCATCTATTTACTCACTTGTTGGAGCAAATCTGAATGTAACTCAATGAAATAGAAGTCCCAACCTTCTCCAGGGGAGCTAGCTGCTGCTTGAGATCTTCTAGCCGTCCAATGAGTTCCTTCTCCTTATTCAGCTGGTGTTCCTCAATACACAGTGTAGTGTACAGCTGTTGAACCAGTGTCTTTACGTCATTCAGCGTGGTTGCATCTTCGTGGCTTAGAAGGTCTAAAGAAGCAGAAGGACCTTTCAGAGTTCCACTCCCTGAAGTACTCCTTCCAGCAGCTTATCAGAACTCAAGTGACAAACCTGTTCCACACCACACTGGAATGTATAGTGCCAAGCAAGTGAGAGAGCTCCACCCCTACCCCACCCCCGTTTCCAAACTAAGGCGCACCAAAACATTCATGGGAGGAGTTTTATCGAGTCGCCTATCAAGGAGAACCTTGCTCCCTCAAGTTGCACAAAATCAAACACAGGGGTTAATAACCTGTTTGTACTTGCATCCTCTGTAATTAAAAATGCACAAACACTTTCAGTTCTCAATACTTAAGAGGATCAGTTTTCACCAACATTAGTTACAGAGACAGGAAGACCAAGGACCAACCTTCAGTCTTCCGGTGCCTTCCGGGACTTGTCAACTATGTTGCAGATCATCATCTATTGGTAGTACTAATCAAGTACCTGATGTTTTTTAACTACTGTATCCTGTTTTTATGCTCTACTTGTGTTAATTAATGGTTCGTGTTTGTTGCAACCCACTCTGAGCCTGCTGTGCATGGAGAGCGGGCTAGAAATTGAATCAAATAAATAAATAAATAAATATTAGGTAAGCTTGGATGCTACATTCTTCTTTGCTCCACAGGCTTACAGAGATTCTGCAGCTATCATCAAAGACATATTTTGGTGCACAGTTCAGAAAGAAAGGAAAATGTAACAGGGCAACACAGGAAGTGTTTGAGCTGCCAGTGCCCAGTACTTGCCATTTGTGATTAAAGATCCACTGTTTATTGGCCTAAATCAACTTAATGTAGTAGTACCTGCACTAATGCATTATGCCCAAATACATTAGCATAACCAAATGGGATAAAATATCCCAGTACAAAACACAAGGATGCACTTACAAGTCCAGCAATGCAGTGAATAATACAACAGTACATGCAACCTATCGCAGCCCAATTGCTTCAGTATTACAATGTACACACTTTTTAAGTATTAGAAAGGAACAAAAAACATGTTATGGTGGCTAAGATTAATGTAAATTTTTTGTTCAGCTACTACCTTAAAATGAGGTATTATACAGATTTTGTCAAGACAATGCAAACTAAAATATATAGAACCTTGCATGCAGTAATTTGCAGCACACAATCTTCAGGCTTAGCTTGCCTTTGTAAGTTTCAGTGCAATCTACAAAACAAGCCAAGTTTGACAGACATCAGTTTAGCAGTTATACAACACTGGGCAATGCTCAGAGATGGAGACAGCACAACTTGAGCCACACCAATGCTTTCAAGCGCTCTATTTCACAATTTCAAAAATCACTAACAGTATTTTGTGTAGTTTATAAGAAAATGCTTCACAACACTTGAGAGTCATTTGACATATTATTAAACATTTAATGATGAAATGGGCACACGTTTACCCTTTCTTACCAGAATCCAGTATTTGGTGGACATCCTATTAAATAGCGTGATGCTGAGATTTCTACTCCAGCTACTCAGCACTCCTGCTGTCCAAACAACTCTTAGACTGCAAACCTATGAAATGTTATTCCAGTCTAAGCCCATCAAAATCCAACAGGCATAGACTGCAGTATCTCTGCATAGGATTGCAGTGTTAACAACCTTGGAAGAAAACCAAAAACACTTATTTTGCTCTTCTACAGGATCATCTACCCACTTAAATGTAGCTGACATATGAACTGAATTATATTAATGGCTTTCATTGGTTCCAAGATAGCTTTCACATCAGATTTAGGTTGCACCTACATTAGAAGATTAATCATAGATTGACAGGCTACTGTGCCAACTATGTATATTAAATATACATAAGTTCTTCTGTGTGCATCTCATTCCTTAGGTATAAGACTGCAAACATCTCATAATCTCATACAGGAAAATGATTAAAGTTTCGGAGTTACACAAGGATCTCGAAGTGCTACAATGTACAACACGGTATCAGTGCTTTTTCTTACTGGGCACCTGCCCCTCTTTTTACTTAACTTTATTATAAGCATTCCTCTATTTCAGAAGATGAAGAACTCACTGAGATTTGATTGTCAATGGACAATTAAACTAGCAGTATTAACAAGCAAAACACCCACAAATCTATTTCTGCTTCCACTTGTGCACTCACATCTTCCAGGTTTGAAATCCAGCGCCTCTGCAAAGTTTATATATTTCTATTTGGGCTTGCTTGCAAAGACATTCTAGAAGCAAACTCAGAACAACTTATTGTAGCTACAAAGAGTCCATCTTTTCAGTCATCCTACATTTAATCCTATTCTGAGTCCCTCATTGGTTTCTTCTTCCTGACACAGTTACTCTTTTGGAAGATGATATTCCCCACCCATCACATCACGAGTTAAGGACCTTGGTTAATATGGTCACATCACTGTGGAATAGTAACCAGAATGTATTTGAACAGAATGTATACAACTGTTAATGGTGACTATCTAAGCCACTGACCCACTTACATATCTAATGATATAAGACCATATATAAAACTGCAAAACACAACACCCTCCTCTTTAGGAAGAAATGAATGTGCAACAGTGAACTGTTACCGGGTGTTCTTGACATATTGGTATTTTGAAGAATGTGTTTCCTGATTAAAATTATGTGGAAGACTACTTATGAATATTGTCTTAAATTCAAAGCAGTGTGCTCCTTTCTGACCTCAGGAAAGCAGATTTCCTAGTGATCAACTTTCCCAGAGTTAGACTGGACTGCTGCAAAGAGGGGAAATATGGGAAAGATCAGCAATCATCAGCACCTTCAGCTAACAGCCCATGATCCAACCCAATTATAACAGTCTAGGTTAGTCTGAGAATAGAAAAGAATATGTACTCTCAGAAAAATAAATCTCAAGGCTCACAACCACCATGATCTGCTTGCACAAGTTTAGAGTTAACACAAGTGTTGGACCATCATTGTCAAAAGCAAGTATCTGGCCGAGTCTAGTAGTTATTCGAAGTAGTGTTATATGGATGGGATAATCCTTCCATGCCCAAGTGGTGCTCACAAGCTGTGTAAACTTTATTCCTTGCTGAAACATGTCCATAAAATGCTGAAACTTGGAAGGAAGAGACTGAAGCAGTGGCACAACATGGCAGCAAGGGTGAAATGGCCAGGAGACTGGGCTACTAGTAAAAGGGACTGGTCCAGATCATCTTAATCATTCTATCTTAAACTCTGATGTTAGTTACGTACCAGGCAAGGTTTGCCAGGTTCCCTCCAAGAAAGAGTCAAGATTTATTTATTTATTTATTTAGTTTGAGGTCAGGACTTGATGACCTCAACCTCTGCCTAGTGAAGTTCAAAACAGCTTGAAACAGTTTCTCTAATCATCCCCTCTCTTGAAGTTCTGTATCACTTCAAGGACCTCTGCATGGACACATTCCAAACAGCACAACAAAATATTAAAACTGCCCACCATTGTAATGGGTTAGTTTGACTGCTGCCATAGGGCTCTTAGGTCAAATCTGGTAGGTAGGAATTGTCCATCAATATATTCCCTCCTTTGGGGCCCTTGTTTGGCTTATGCATCAGTCAAGAGCATGATCACGTGGCTAACAGCATGTCTTCAGTGCTATACTCTGTTTTTGCTCTGGTAACCTGACATGTGACTAGTTGTAAAAAAAGATATCTAAATTTACTAACATTTACCAACAGCTACCAGCAGCTAGGCTGCATAAGGGTATCAGCAACCTTTGCAACAGGCAGTCGGTTCATCAAGACACCAATAAATATGTCACATATCCCATGATCTTCGTTCACTGCTCTTACTGAGCGGATATCCCCATAACTCTACCAATATATCATACACCAGAGGCTAATAATTTATCGCCAGAAGTTACTACCAGGCTGCTTACTACTTCTTCAATACAAAGCCCTTCTTTAAAAATGTCTTAAAGATGATGAATGAGAAGTAGAAGTGACACAGGGGGACAGTGAGGTTGCACGTATGAAAGGAGAAACCATGACTGGAGACCTGGGGTGGGGGAATGGTGTTATAGATCTTTGCAAGGAATGGTTCCTCTGCCCTCTGGAGACTGAGACATGCTGCTTGAACATTTTCATATTCATTTCCTCATCACAAGGGTCAAAGGTATAGCATGATATGTGCAGAATTCTGTACGCGCAAGTTTGCGGAAGACGTATCATCAACTTTCTTTGCCATCACAGATGAAATTATCTTTAAAAAAACAAACAAAAAACTGCTAGATGGAGGTTCTTCCTGAATATGACTTCTGGAAATATATCCCAAGTGGTTACCTCTCTTTGGTGGACGAACATGGTAAGTCAAGTCATTAATTACTAGTTTGAAATCATCAAGGAGTAGAAGATCTATGCCTGTTGAAGAGGCTACTCGCGTGCCATCTGCAAAAGGAAAGTAAGAATAGGTTGTATTGAGAACTGAAAATCTCTTACTACAATTAATAGTAATGTAGCATTTGCAATAAAAGTTGGTTTCAAAGGGCAACTATGTTGGTCTACAAAACTCCCTTCGTCAGACAGTATCTGACTCTCAAAAGCTTATAACTCGAAAATCTTGTCGGTCTCTAAGGACCTACTGTAGAATCTAGCTATTCCAATTAAACTCAGTGTAGGATAGCCATTTTTTTAGCCTAGCTTACTTTGTTATATATTTATAGTATACATAAAAGTTTGGAGCACTAGGTTTCCAGCTAATGCTCTGAGGTACTCCCTCCAAACATTTCATCTCCAACTTGGACTTGGCTAGTATAACATCCACTTGTAGAAAAGCATTTCATAGCTTGAGTGGCTGAAAATAAAATCTCTCCAGAATCCAAGCTGTCCTTTTTGAACAGATTGATATTGTTCAAAGTGGAGATCTGAACCATTCCTCCTCCAGTTTTTCTTCTGCGGATGATTCGGAAACAAAATTAAGTGCAGCACAAAAAAAGAGCTGGGGGGGGGGGGGTAGGGATATCAAACAGTATAACTAGAACTTTTGAAATTTTGTTTCTTTCTTTAATGGTAATTTTAGGTTTGCTCCAAATTCCATTTTGATTCAAATTGATTCACAGATGGATAAACTCCTCAAGTCCCTCAGAGCTTAGACAATCCTAGAGGAGGAGATTGTGTTAGTTGGGAAAGTATTTCCAAATTGTCCCCTCCCCAAGAATTTATGACAAGGCCCACCTTGTTTTAACACACTGCCATCAAATGCAGTAAACCCCTCCAGTGACTGTCCTATTTGGCAATCACAGTTTGTGGTGAAAAGGTATGTAGATTTCTTGCATCCTCCAGAGAGCAAAGTAGCTTATTGCTCTGTATCAACTTCTGCAGGTCTAGTTGGAAGTAAACATGTGAAACACATAGAACTCTTCAATGGCAGAAGTGAAATTCAACAATATTTCAGCTATATTGAGATTAAACTGACTCCCTAATGCTTAAAATTGAATTCAGTTCAGGTACAAAGCTGTCCAGAACACATTGACTACTATCTCCCCCCCCCCAATTAACTAGCAACAAGTTGTTGGGACAAAGCACCATAATCTCTAGGTTTACCCAAATACTAAGCATGCCTATTTAAAAGTCAATTCAAAAGTTAGAGCTTTCCGAAATTGAACTTTATCCTCCTCTTCCATCTCAGCGTTAGCATTCATTCACAAGTCCAGCCCAACACTCTTAACTTGAAAGAGCGTCCACGCCATCATGAGAAATGACTTCAGCCTAATTTCATTAACATAAGGAATAGTGTCATAATGATAGCTGATGTGCAGATTTGAGCTCTGTATTGAAGGCATTTGATTGTGTTAGTAATACTAAACAGCACCTGGTGAATAGATTGCGACTCGATCAATTCCCCGATCTTCTGCCTGCAGCTGTCGTAAGAATACTCCAACGGAGTCTGAGATAGGCTTAAGTGTAAACTGGCAACGCTCACGGCGGGATGGAAGATTCACAGATATCACAGGTAACCCGTTTTGATAAACCACTGTTACATCTGGGTGGAAAGACAGTAGTCAGCCAAGACAGATTCTATTCCATATATGATGACATTTAAAACAAAAGAACATGTAGCATGGCTTTCTGAATTTATGAAACAGAAAGGACCCTAGACTGCTTAGATGGTAGATCCCACCACATACTCAACAGGGCTGAATAAAACACATTGGCTTGGTCTGGGGAGCATGCAAGAGTAAGTTTCTTTCGAAACCATGCTGATAATGGTCACCAGTTTCAACAAAGTATTGGGCAGTGATGGAAACTTTCCCTCTCTCTGGAATTTCAAGACTGTCTTGCCTGACCAGTTCTCGAAGAGAGACTTATTAGGCTGAATAACCACATCTCCAGAGAAAAGGGAAAAGATGCTCTCCATCATGCTCTCCCACACACTCTGTAGTGTGCAAACTACCACAAAAAAAACCCCTCAAGCATTTAACCCAAAAGGCTCCATACAGTTGATGAAATAGTCATTACTACGGAAAGAACTAGTATCTAGGTTCTCAGCACAGAAAACAGGTTTTTTTGTCCACACCACTAGGTATGTTTCAACTCCTAGTAATTGGTTCTGGGGCTCATTAGGGGAATGAAAAGTTATGGACTGATGAAGTTAGAAGCTAAAAAGCAAAGGCTGCCTTAATACACAAAAATCCCTAATCTATAAAGCACAGAGCCAGCAAAATAATTAGCATGAAAAATCTGATCTTTTCTTATCAAAAGATGCTTTGTTTGCACTTGATTTTTTTTAAATGACACTACTTAAAATTCTTACAGACTAGGGAAGGTGACTTCAACCTTTTGTCTTTGGTAGGAAATCTCTTTCTCTATGAGTGCCAAAAACATACAGTGACTCCTCAGACCAAAAGCCAGCAACCTTCCACCATCTGGTTGAACAGCTGCAGTATTTAAAAAAATCTGTCCACTGATCAAAGTATTCAGTTCCTAGAGGTTTGTATGGTGTCTTTGTACTACAAACCTAGAGTGAAAGGACAGCTTGAGCCTCCATTTAAGCATTTTAGGTAGGATGATGGGCATATTGAAAAATGCATGAGTAATCAGTGAGAAGAGATTTCAGGTCTCTGTTCAATAAGCCAAGACAACAAGAACACATTTACCTCTACCGAATTTATACTCTGCCTTTCAATATGAGTGCCCTAAGGGCGGATGCTACCTCACATCCACATTTTATTTAAACTATTAACATCCTGTTTCTCCATGAAGGACCAAAGGCAGCTTACAGCAAATACGGCAATAAACATTAATAGCCACATCACTATATCCAGCTGTCTGATCACCGTATGGATAACAAAAGCAGGAATAGCAAAAGCAGGACTTCTGGGCAACATACAGGAAAGGGAGGGATCTCTACTTGCCTGGAGGAGATATGGAGAAAAACATGACTTTGTAGATTAACAAAAAGGCCTCCTCCAACAATATACCCAATGAGAACTGTCTAGGCATTGAATATGGGCAGAGAAATTGATGAGCTCAGTCCCTAACAGTTTACAGGATACTGAAGGGGGGAGATTTGGGGGATGGCACAAGGATTTCCCATTCAAAACTGTCCCCTCCAATTTCTCATGGGCTCCCGAATTAATACCCATCATTAATAAAAATTCCAACCATGGGGGCAGAACAGTAAACAAATGTTGATGAGTAAAACATGGGTTTACTACATGAAGAGAGACATGTCCCAGCAGGTCCCAGTTCTCTATAAACAAGAGATCATATTGTTAAATTGTATAGCTGATACACCTATAAAGCTTCAAGCAATAGGTTTATACATTATCACCACAACCAGATTGGTCGTTGCTGGGCACTGGAAGCAAACAAAACTCATGGCCGGATGATGACAGCACGAAAGACCTACACAACAATGAAACCAAGGAAACAGAAATACTCCCAGATAAGGCTCATTATGGTCAATGATTATGCAGAGAATGGAACTTGAAGCAAACCGAGAGAAATAGCATTCTTAATTCCACAGGGTATGTATGGTTCAGAGGAACACGCTGGCCTTGTACCTATTATGTATTTTCTCTTATGCTTATTTTTTTGATCATTTTGCATAAGCATTTAGTTATAAATAAGATACGAAGGTCCATTTGAGTTGAACCCCAAAACAAATGGAAATTATTGGGATTGCTATAGAACAGGTGTAATGTGTTAACAACAGCTTGGTATTCTGCTCAGGGCCTCACAAGGGGGTTGGTCTTTCTCTTATATGGGAGAAAGCATTCTGACATGTTCCAGATTCACACAACTAATGGTCAAAGCCAGCATCTCGAATTGGGCCAAGAAACATACTAGCAGCCAATGGGTTTTAAGAGAGATGTATGTTTTCCCTTAGGGTTATTCAGGTTTCTGTTTTGTTTCCTATGACAAATACATGAAACTCCTGGAAGAGGTACTCCAGCGATATAGAATGAGGGGTTATCAGTATGCTCAATATACTCAGCACCATTTCTCTTTTTCATTGGATCCAAGAGAAGCGGTGAGATCTTTGAAAGGATTCCAGGAACAATTAAGAACTTGATGAGGATGAACAAACTGTAAATCAATCCAGTAAGGTAGAGAAGATTGTTATAGGGAACTCACTAGTCCATTCCATTCCATATAATCCATACACACAACTCATATGCCCCAAATTTAGCCAGGCAGATGGCCCTATCTTATAATGCATCCGCATTTCAGACACTGGAGTGCAGCTGCAATTTGACTAGATGATTCCAGGACTGTGCTGTTCTTTTGAGCCTGTGATTTTTCTAAAATTCTGGTGGCTTGAATTTTTCAGTTCACTGGCTTTTAATCAGACACAATGTTTGGATACAATCAGTGTGCCCTCTAAGCTGAGTTAGTGTGAGCTAGCGCACAGCTTTTAGCCTCCAGCTCACAGAAGGATGGCTCTAGAGCAAATGAATTTATGCAGTAGCCAAATCGCTCGCTCACAACTTTAATGCCAGTAACTCACAAAGTAGAATTTTTGCTCACAAGACTCCAGAGCTTAGAGGGAGTATGGGATACAATTTTGCTGAAATCACAGGAGTGGAATCTATAACCTCATTTCTTCTTTTGGTTGGATATGACCTGCCCTTCGACATCCTCATGATTCCAAAAACCAGATGACCCAAAAAATACAGAGGGGGGAGGAGGTAACAAGTTATTCTGAGAAGGTAGAATCACTGCTAAAGACCAACTAGTGGCAAATGGAAGCTGATGCAATTAAGGAGGCTTTGGCAAAGGATACCAAAGTAATCTTTCAGTTAGGATTGCATGAATAAATGGCAGAGAAGCCCAAAGAGCGCCTGTTTAAGATCACATGAGCCAATCACAATTAAGATAAGATGCGGAAGATACAAAAACCATTCTAGACATCAATTGTGAAACTTGCCTGTCAAATTTTCACTTGCAAATGGAAAGAAAGTATAAGGGTGAAACCATAGATTTCGTTTTTAAAAAATGTAACAACAAGTCTACATTGGGATAGTCAGAGTTTCTGCAAGAAAGAATCCAACTGTCCTTCAAACACAGGACTGACCTTGAAAAGCTAGCCCTAAACTAGGCTGTCAAAGTGAAATTTTGGACAGTCACTGTGAAGCTACCAAAAGTCTGAAGAATTCTCAGACAAGAAAAATGTGAATAAGGAAAAAAGGGCAACTGACCTAAAAAAATTAAAAATGCAATTCCAACTTGTACTTCAGTGATGCAGAAAGACTAAAGGAAGCAAAAGAGGCCCATGAGGGTTTGCTGTTTGGGTTTTAATCTGTGAGAAAACTCAAGACATTTATCCCTAAGTCATAACAAATGAGACTAAGGTATAGGCAGAAAGAAAACAAAGCTTTATTCAAAAGATGGGGAAACCTCTTCAAACAGAAATCTTATTAACAAGTTTATTTTTGTACTTACCATCAGAGGGCACTATAGTACTGCAATAGACCACTCTCATGCTTTGCCATGGAAGAAGCCTTTGGTGTACCTAGAAACACACACAAAGCAAGGCAAGATTTATTAATAAAACAGCAAATGCTGGTACATTTCAGATGACCCATGCCGGGATGCCAATCTAGCCACATCCTACTACCCGCTGCAGGGGGGACAGCAAATCAAGAGAACCTTTCAAGAACAGCATCTCTTGTGGCCATCTGTCATTCAGTATGGATATTCCTCATGAGCCAAAATGCCATGCCTTACAAATTCTTCTGCACCAAATTTAGAAGGAAAAAAGGAAATCATTTAAAAGTCATAAAATCTTTAAGCAGCACTTTAGCCAAGCGGTAGTATGGCCTAGGATGGAAATTTATCCACAAAGATTGGGGGGGGGGGATGCATTAATAAGCTGGAAGAAAAAGATTTAGACAGAAAACAGACTTTAGGAAAGAAGCACATTAAGACAATGGGTTAACAGCATATAGAAGTACTGTGTTCCTTTAGAATCCCAGACAGCACAACTAACCACACTGTTTAATGTGGTGCATGAGGGACAAGCCGTTTGCAGAAGCAGTGTCAGGCAGAAGAGGCGGTGGGAGAAAGGCTAACAACATTATGGGAAGCACAAGAGGGGGTGGGGGTTCGTTGGAAGTATTGATTAGTTCAGCTTCCAACTAGCCTCATACATCAATCGCACAAATTCACGTCTGTCTTGAATGATTTATACTTGTACCCCACTATTCTCCCCAAAAGAGCTAAACTCGTTTGATCAGAGTTGCACATACTGAATGAATTTACAAGAAATTCAGTTTAAATATCACTTTCACTTCTCCGGTAACAATTTTTTTTTTTTTAGTTTCGCCCTTGAATGATAGCAACAGTTACCTAATTGTATCCTTAGATTAGCAGTTCCATCTCCGAGTTAATACATTCTGATGAAATCCCCCTTTATGGTCTCTGTTGCCCATCTTACTGTTGCAGAAAGCAAACTTGGCCGTCACTAAATCATACTCAGGTCAGGAAATGAGCACCTAAATCTCCAGAAAAATTTTAAAAGCTAACAAATTTGCTCAAAGCTTACAATGACACAGAGATCTTAAACTCGTTTATGTGGTAACTAGGACTGTCAATTAAAAAAAACAGTCGACTGCGAGCATTTTTCACATTTCTGACACTGAAACAAAAAAAGATGAAGCTCTATTGGTCTTTCAGGAACTGTTTAAAAGGATCAAAGATGTCTGCACTGACATTTTAATGTGGCTGAAAGATGAGGCCTCTGAATACAGAAGATGAGGCAGTATTTTGAAAGAGTTTTCATTTTGCTGCACATAAATTAACCCCTGAAATATGGACACCTAGCGGCTACTCTTGCAATTTGGGGGAAAACAATCTTATTTTTCTCATCATGTGGGCAGCCACAGAAGCCTTCCAAAGTGTCCCCATTTCAAACATTACACTTTAAAAAAAATAGGAGTAGACCACCACTCACAGTAAACAGCGGCTAGCCAGTTGCCACGAAATCTACCCCAGCTCTGACCGGAACTTCCCCAAAATCAACTAGATACTTAAGACGCCAAATAAAATCCCCTTGGTTAGAGCGTTGGATTATTATTTGGGAGACCCAAGTTTGAATCCCCACTTTGCCATGGACACTTGCTGGATGACCTGGGGCTACTCATGCACTTTCAGCCTAATCTACCTCACAGGACTTTGAATCCCCACTGGGGAGAAAAGCAGGAAACATGGAACAATTCTAATTTCTGCCTGGAAAAGTCATTGCTCCCCTCCAATTGTTAAATGCAATACTGCATTTTAAGAGGTACATTAAAATACATTACAATGCAGCTTCATTGAACATCTATTTTATTCAGTGGTTTAAGCTGATATACCTGCCTAGCGCTTCTGGAATAACTCTGTTCTAAGGTCACAATAATCCAGTTATGAAGATTTGTCTGCTTTAAGGTGATGTAGTATGCGCTACATGTTCAAACCGTGGTTTCTTGGCAGATGCTAAATTGGGATAATAAAACATTGTTTGTACCTGACTGCTTAACTGTAGCTTGAATGTCAGCAGTATGACAGCTGTAGACTCTGTAAAGAGCCTTGGGGTGTGGTTGGGTTCTGCACTATCATTGGATGAACAAGTGTCCTTGGTACCACAGTTGATGTTTTCTTCATCTATGCCAGGCCTGCCACCTGGCTCCTTATTTGTCTGGGTCAGACCTTGCCACATGGATCCATGCAACAGTCACCTCCAGACTGAACGACTGCAATTCGCTCTACATAGGGCTACCCTTGAAAATGCTGCAGAAACTGCGGGTGGTCCAGAATGCAGCTGTCAGGTTGCTGACTGGAACATCATGGTCAACTCAGATCACTCCAATTCTGTGGCAGCTGCACTGGCTACCAATTAGTATCCAGATCCAATTCAAGGTGTTGGTGCTAACCTTTAAAGCCCTTAATGGTCTGGGATCCTCATACCTACGGGACTGCCTCTCCCGTTACAACCCCCCCACTCCCTTTGGTAATTGTCCAGGGGCCTCTTACAGGTGCCTGGCCCCAGGATGGCTCAGTTAGCTATTACCAGGGGAAGGGCCTTCTCAGTTGTGGAATGCCCTCGGATTACACCCATGCGCTGCCGGACTTGTTTGGTTTCTGCAGGGGATGCATGGTCAAATTGTTTAGGTTGGCCTTTGGAGGGTAACCACATGTTTGGACTTTTTTTATTAGTGGCATGGTGATAGCCATATATTTTAATGTTAATATTTTATATTTGTTTTTAGGTTGTTTCACCTTATTGGTTTTGAGGTTGTAAGTCACCGCAAGAACCTTTGGATGAATGGCAACTAAAAAAATCTAATCAATTAAGATAAATAAATAAATGTCAAAATCCCTCTTAGTTCAGGAGAAACACCCCTCCTAGCTGAACGCAGGTGGCACAGCCAAGTTTCCTGTCAATCTGCATGCAGGAAGCTACTGATGGAGCTTTCTAGGAATGCGTTCTCCCTCTGTCTACTCCCCGCAACCGCATTCCCTGCTACTGATGACTCACAAGCAAGAATGCACTTCATAGATTATGGCCTCTGCTGAGGGGACATTTCAAAGGGAGAAAAGATGACAAGGGAAAAAAGGGAGGGTGCAGGCTGTGAATGACTTTGCTCCAGAATACAATTTAGGGAATCCACTGAAGTGGCTGGACATCAAGGAGAACGGCTGATGACTGCCAAGAGAGGGAATGAGGGCTGAAAAGAACTGTATTTTGTTTGCATTCAGAAGTTCAGGAATTCAGTGAAAACTTTTGACAGAAATGGGAAGCCTGGAAGCCAAAAACACAAAGGTTTTGCCAGTCTGAGGCTCTTGCCCCCACCTCCATGTCCATTTACTGCAGCCAGCCAATAGCAAGTAAGCTATTATGCCATAAGGCTTTGACAACTGACTAGAAGAGCAAGGGGCATACGAACAGTAGAATATCCAAGTATACGTAGTATCCAGAATAGTATCCAAGTATCCAGAATGGTTTGTCCACTGAATGAGAAGGGAACACTCACTGGAGAAGACCCTGATGCTGGGAAAGACTGAAGGTCAAATTTATTTATTTTATTTAATTCAATTTATACCCCGCCCTCCCCGCATATGTGGGCTCAGGGCAGCTTACAAGAGGCTTACGCCAATATAAAACATATAAAACCATATAAAATAAATTCAATACAATTTATATATCTAATAGCCAAGTTGCCTCCGGAGTGTGGATCGCTAAATCAGCGCTCCGGGGGCACTTGGGGGTGAGGGGGAGGTTTGTGCACACGTGGGCCAGTCCCCACGTGTACACAAAAATGCTAAAAGTAGAAAAAAATTTCGGGGGGATGTTTAAATCCCCCCGAAAGTGCAAGAGCGTTCCATGCGCATGTGCACGGAACGCTCTGTAGCTGACCTCGCCGCCACCGCGCTGCCTCCTCCTCCTCAGAGTTGGCTGGGCGGGCGGGGGGAGGACCGGCCTCGCCGCCGCCGAGCCCGGCAAAGGGGGGAGGACCGGCCTCTCCGTCGCCGCCTCC